GGGTGAATTTATCATTTATGTAGGCCCAAACTCTCATGATGTACAATCAATTTCCATTCATTGGTCAATGTGACTTTATCTCATACGACGATATTTTGGGTAAACAAATAAAACATATCGTAAAACAATGGAAATTATACAATATGAAATCAAATATGTGCATTTTTTATGAGTAAAACTTTTCATCGTGGTTTGTCATTGAAAAGAGAAAATATGAACGCTATCTCCTTTTATTCTTTCATCCACATTATAAATTTAATCCTTTATGTCTTCAGGGCTTTAATGCTTGGTTTTGCGTCAGCCACTTATGAAAATGGAACATGTGAGACCTCAATATGACTTTCTCACGCTCCAAAAAAATTACTTTTCACTTTAAAAAAGGAAAATTTTCATAATTTAAATTTAAAATCAAAATTTGAAAATTATATTGCCCAAAATTCTCATCAGAAATCACACGACCAAACAGTGAGACAGAAAATGAGCTCAGACGGTAAAGAAAATCAACAATGACCAAGAAAACGAACCCGAAATCCCAGCAAAATATGATCTTTCGTTTTGTACAATCAGCACTCTACAGTTTAAATAATAATTTCATTAGCTGACACAATTTGAAAGAGTACATATTTATCGTACATATTTTTGAAAAGTTATTGAATAAAAGCTTTTCCTGAAGTATCTAAACAAATTACATTTTTTCGAAAATATTCTTTGTTTTATAAAGACTATTAAAATAAAGAATATATATAAATATTCGTCATTTCTCATATTTTTTTATTCAAAGCTTTTTTACAAAAGAATTCCTTATTCATCCTAGAAATATTTTAATGATATCTTTGTGTGTGAACCTTGAGCGCACTTTGTATTTTTCCAACTATATGCAAAGATATTCAGGAGAAAATATGAACAGCTGAAACTTTGACAGGAGTTGAAAGGTGCACATGGTCATTATAACAAAATTTTTCCATACCTTTTTTATTTGAACGGTAAGGCTTTGATTTTTCGGTTCACTGCATAATGATCTTAAATGTTTTTCAGTCAATCTTTTACTCTATATCATTGATTTCTTTCAAGGAGAATCATTACGATTTGATACTGAAGAAACACCGAACATTCGTATGTAAATTGGGTGATTTCTTTTGAAGCTTTCTGACACTTTACTTCCAATATGTTACTTTAGGTTCTTTATTTCTCTCGATTTGATTTATCGTATGTATGTACAAGAAAGTTATATGAACGCATTAAACATTTTGTAGATATTGAATGTTATTTGATACTCATATTTCTTCTTATAGAAACCTTTTACATACGTGCGGTTTTAAGGTAAATGGTCGCAACTTGAGATCTCAGAGAGCATCCACACAATTTCCAGCACTATAGCCAACTTCGTTTATTGTTGAACTTCAATGCTTGTTCTTCTATCTTTGATGTCATTTTTGTCTTTTGATCTTTACATTAGTCTATGTAGAGATGGGAGATTAACTGACGTTTGAGCGACCAACATTTGAGTGCCGACACTTAAGTGACCCTGACATTTGAGCGAAACTTTTTCCTTCATTCTTTTCACTTCAGCCTGAGAAGAAAAGCTACTTTATAGTTTTTCAACAATATGAATTTGCACTGACCTGAATGTTGTTTCAGAAAACGAAAAAGGGAGAAGTTGGTTTAGTACCTGAAAGTTATTAATTCAACCCAATTAATTGTGTTTCTCAAACTAATGAAAAATTTGCAAATTTCTGGTTGAAAAGTCGATGAAAATATAATTCACCATCATCCATTCAAAAGAGAGATAAAAGCACTTCTTATTTCTACGATAATTTCAAACATATTCTGTTAGAGGGAAAAATATGCGTGATGAGAAAAACACGTTTGAAGCAAGCGAAAGTTGCAAGAGTTTTTTTGGTGAAGTTTTCCATTTAGATTTTTTCTCACTCAAACTCAATCCGAAAAAACAACGATCGACATTTTTATCATTACTTTTGTACTTTATATGTTATTATTCTAATGTATTTCTAAACGAAACGTATTATAAAAGAAAAATATAGAATTTCGAAACTATGTACCTGCATTAATAAAGGTGAATTGATACCTAAAATAGTAGCAGTAGAAACATTGCAAAAGAGATTTTGTTAGCCACCTTGTAATCTTATAACTAGGCATGCACCAGTTACAGTTAACGGTAAAACTGTAACTGCTCATAACTGTAGGCAAATATTCTAGAGTGATTAGTTTTGTACGATTTGCATACATTTTAAGAATTCTTAAAATGTATGCAAATCGTACAAAACTAATCACAGATTATTTTAGCATGGAAAATTATTCCTTTTTGGATAGGGTTTTGTTACCTTTTTACAGCAATCATCGTAATGTGCTCTAGGAGGGACAGGCAGTCGTAAATGGTTAAGAAGCCACTAATCTTTATCATCTAAGTGTTTTTATGGAGAATAATATTACAGGCTGAATAGACTGCATCTTGCGTTAAAAATTGCTAAAAACGTCCGGAGACCGAAGTTCAGATATCTTTTGGTAACAGCATTGTAATTATGAACATATAATATAAAAGTAACGTTCATCTTCGATTCACTTGATCCATTGATGTTGGGATTTATGTGTCCGTTGCACGATTATCATTAAGACGTCCAATCAGCTTTTGCAAACCTTTATATACCTGGATGTTTTACTGATGGAGCTCAGAAAAGAAAATCTTCCGTTATTATTCCGCAGAACTGAATCAATGTATTCGTATTCATTCTCAAAGTTTATGTCCGATATATTGATTTATCTGCACCTATCGTAGTACCCTTGATTGTTAAAGATTACAGCTATACAACTCAACCATTAATTGAAAGAACCTGAACAAACATGGAAAGATCGTAGCAACTCTGATGTTTTTTCTTTTTGTACAAAAGCAGATGATGCTTCTTTCTTGGAGAAACGAGTCACTTATTTTGATCGTTCGCGTTAAGAGACGCGTAGGCATTTTAAATAAGAAAGAAAATATTCCAGCTCACGACAGTAAAAGAACAGTCATAGTTTTACTCAGGCACCTCGACTCGGATCGCTCGTCTCGGGCGGTCCCAAATCCTTACCCAACATGATACTAAAGTCGCAGCATGCACCGTGAAAAAAATCCCATTCTCAGTTCACAGTAGAGCTCAATTAACACCAGAAAAATCAAATTATTTTAAAAGATGTCCAAGGCTTTGTACACATTTATAGCTTTCTCGACACCTTCTAGAGATCTCCAGGATTTTAATTCCACGCTTGAAGTGGACATACACGGTTACACTAGGTACCTCGACTAGCTTCGCTTGTCTCGGAGTCACTTCGAAAGTCTTCCTAACCCTTGTACATCCCTCTCGAGCTGTACAGGTGAGGAAAACGTTTCGGATACCCTCTGGCGATCTGCGGTCGTATTTTCCTGCATCTTCCTACTCAAAGAAAAACTCATGCACCGATAGGAAATCCAAAGAGATACCGGACATCTCATCTACACCCATTAACGGGTGGCGCATAAATAATGAGCCTCTCAGTATTTTGCGTATAACTTGGTTTGGATTTGTTTCCAAGACTCGATGCTTGTTTTAAAAGATGCGCTGCGAAATACTCTACAAAATCATACCTAAACTATAATTTCAGATTTTCAATCAAGAAAACTAAGCCAAATAGATTAAAGTCGAAAAAAACGTACACTTTCTAAACTCAAAAATGATTTCTTGTGTTGATGTTTTGAAAGTAAGAAAAACTGAATTAGCGGTTTTGTAACCCTGATTTCGCTCTATTTTTTAGCTACACTTCAAATTTTTTCACATCAAAAGCCACAGCAAAATAATCGTTTTTCTATCGGTTGTCATGCATTTCTTCATTCATATTTTAAATTTTAGACATAGTAGTGCTTTCGGTAAAAGTCCCATAACTCCATCAAAATAAAAGCTTTTTCGGTCGCGTTTGCTTTGTTTTGATCAGAAATGATTGCTCTTCTCTATCTAACTGCAAAACCAATCTTCGATCATCTTTTCCGTTTTTTTGATTGAGCACATTGTTGGAAACGGTGAGGCTGTCAACTTTTGATGTATTTTTGTAACTTCGTTGTCGAGCACACCATCTGCTCTAAAAATGTTTTTTTACAGACCACGAAGAAGAGCACATTTGAAAGTACCAAACATAAACTGAGTTCTCTCTTTTGCTACACTTTAAGCGGACGTAGTAGCAGAAGAAAAACTTCATGTCGAAAAAAATTTTGAGTTTAGAAAGTGTACGTTTTTTTCGACTTTGATCTATCTGGCTTAGTTTTCTTGATTGAAAATCTGAAATTATAGTTTAGGTATGATTTTGTAGAGTATTTCGCAGTGCATCTTTTAAAAAAAGCATCGAGTCTTGGAAACAAACCCAAACCAAGTTATACGCAAAATACTGAGAGGCTCATTATTTATGCGCCACCCGTTACTCGAATGGGTATTACATTACGACCCCTCGAAAAATTAGTCCGATTGAGCTCAAAATTTTACAATATGTACTTCAGGCCCTATCTCAGGTTCGGTTTTTTCTTTTCGAAAAATATTCTTTTCTTCTCCAGATATTCGAAAAATACTGAAAGTCCCATGTAAAAAACCTGTTTTTCGTTTTGAAAACCTTCTCATGCCGGAAGATGCAATCGAAACCGCTTAAAAGTGCTAAAAACACAGGGCTCTGTTTTTCAGGGCATTTGTAGTTATGCTTATATCTCTAAGAATACTCATCAGAAAATTCTGAAAAACATCTCATTTTGAAGAGCATATTTTCTTCTATCATGCTATATATATATAAGAAAAGATTTTGAATATACAGAAAAGGAGAGAAAAATTTACGAACCTAAAAAAGTGAGATTTTCTAGGCTTTGAAGGAAAAACTTAAAAGCTTCATAATTTTTTCAAGGAAGGTCATGGAGAGTTGTGAGTGGTCTCAATTTATAGCTCAGACTTTCCTCTACATTAGACTATGTTCAGCTCAAAATAACATTTTCTGCAAAAAAGAGCGGGGGCCGTGGTACCCTTAACTATTTTCGTCCTGATACTGTCCTGGAGTATACATACCACCAATACGCTGAATAAGATTGTAGACTTTAACGTATATAGTATTGTAGTATTATATTATTTTAGAATTCTAGTATTAGGAATAGAATCCTCGAATCGTTGAATGCTAGAATGTACTTTTTCATCTTAGAATACTATAATAGTAAAATACTACAATACTACAGTCCCAGAATCCTAGAATGCTAGAATCCTAGAATAACATAATACTAGAATAGTACAATCCTAGAATTCTACAATCTATTATTAAATAGTGTCTTCTGAATGAACAAGTTTTGGTTTGCGGCAAAGTCTCGATATAGTATAAGTGTTCAATTTGCGGCAAACGCAAACTCTCCAATATGTGGCTAGAAATAATCCTCGGATATTCAGAATACCAACATTAAATCGATCTCACCGAGCTCTTTCTGTTACACTATTTAACCTTTTTGTTACCGTTCTTTGTGAGAATATTAGCTAAAAATATTCGCATATGAAACCAATTTGTCCAGCGTCTCATTTCAACGCCATATATCCATAAGACTAAAATCTTTCAATTTTATATTCGTTATTTTTTTGTCAATCGTCAAAATAGATCAACAGTCAATTCTCGTAAAGTAGTGTTTATGGTATGGTTTTGTATTATTCTCAATTGTATTTTAAGGATACCAACCTATTTCATATGGACAGTGGTTGAAAAACCTGCTTCTACTTACTTTCCCGATATTTATAGCATCAATTCAACAGCGACCATCTATTGGTTTAATGCTTTACTGACAAAAAAATTTGAAAGTTTTGGATTTCATATTTCAGCCATATTTTTGAAAATAATACCTGTTTGCGTTTTAATTACATTTAGTCTTTTACTTATACACTCTATTCGTAGTGCCCGAAGAATCCGTCAACATCTTCAACAAGGAAAAAAAACCCGTCGTTATTCATCATCATTGGGTAACTCTACTCGTGAATTACGTACAACAACAATGTTAGTATTAATTACAATATTTACTGCATTTGTCGAATTACCACAAGGTCTGTTATTTATTGCTAGTGCAATTGATAAAAAGTTTTATTTAGTCTATAGTCTGTTGGGTGATATTTGGGATCTGTTAAGTATAGCATCGAGTTTTATTACATTTATTATGTATTGCTCAATGAATTATATAACCCTGTACACTTGTAAACGAAATCGGTGGCTCATTGCGCAATACATTATAAATGTAATAAAACTCGATGCTATACTTA